TAATGAACCAGAAGTCTCAATCCTAAATGGTTCTTCTGAGGCATTTTGGAACATTTATTTTTTAGTATATCTATAATTTCAATCATATCAAATCATTTATAATGTGTCATTTACAGTTTTTTTTTCAACTGCTTACATTTTCAAAACTTTGCCTCTCTTTTTTTTCAAAGCTTTACACACAAATCCAAGAATTGCTCACACAAAATGCAAAATGCAAAATGCCTCACATCTCTTGCAAAATGAAGCACTGCATTCAAAATATCACACACACATCTCAAAAGCAAACATTTGCAAACATCTTTGCCATAATATTAATTCCTGTTAGATTACATAAAGAATTGTGTGTTGTGTTTTGCAAAAAGTGTTTTATGAAATTGAAAACTGAGTCAAAGGCAGAGAATTAGCATATGGTTTTGCAGATTTGGTGTGTGGTTCTGGTGTTTGATTGTCAGGTTTCAGAAATTGTGTGACAAGTAAAGATTTTGTGTGTAAGCAGTTGAAAAAAACTGTATAATACATGCATTGATTAGGGTCATTGGACATCACATTTGAGCTGTCTGCAATGATATGAAGAATGTAAATACAAATAGAAGAATGTAAAATATTCTGAATTTGCCAGAAAATCATTATAGCAGATAACCACAGGTTATGGAGGAAATTTAGATGTTGCAGTGAGAAAAAAAAGGTGATATTTGCTATATGGAGGATGTCTGAATCTCTACAGTCTTTTTTTGGTCCAGGAACATGGTGAAATTAGGTAAATAGGGCCACTTCTTGACTAGTCTCAGTGGCAAAAGTGGCCTAATTTACCAGAAGTCAACCTAAATAAGTGATTCAGACACTACTTCTAATGTTAAAGGTACACTCTAAAAAATGCTGGGTTAAATATACCCAAGCGCTGGGTTAAAAAGGGACAACCCCAGCTATTGTCAAAACAACCCAATAGCTGGGTTTGTCCCTTTTTAACCCAGCGCTGGGTTATATTTAACCCAGCATTTTTTAGAGTGTAATGTAGGTTCTGTAAATGGCAAAAATTATATAATAATACATCTGTCCGTGTGTTAGGCAATCAGTTCACACTTTGTGATTTAGCTGTCAGAAATCCACTGCAGAGTTCAGGCCTGCCAGAAGTGCCATTGTAAAGGCCAAAGTATGGGCCTGTTCCAATACTCACACTTGCGGCATTGGCCGCTTGAGAGCGCAAACATGCATTAGACAGCAAGTGTGCAAGACTGTCCCAGGTCTGAAAAATGACAACGCTTGGTGACCTTAACAAACACTAAATCCACACGATCTCTAATAATGCTTCAGAGTAGCATTTCAGGCTATCCCATCATGTTCAGGAGATTATGTGCCCTGAAAACTGTTCAAGAATTCAAGAAAAACCTTTCAGTGTCAAATGAATTAGATATCACATCTAATTGTAAACATAAAGTGTTGTGCAATTTATTGATGAGTATATGTGTGCTTAATAAAAAAAAATAGCTAATTGTTTTGATCAGTTGATTAGAAGCACAACAATGAATAAATTGTGTCTGTTACTGAATTTTATTTTAAAGTGCGAATTATTAAAAGTCAAAATGTAATAAAAAGTACTCCACACTTGTGGCCTACATTTGAACACTTGGGCCAAATATAGGAAATACTTCATCTAAGTAGACAAGTGGTCAAGTGCAAAGGTTGCATCGGTAGTTATACAGTAGTTAAGATGCCAATGTGAGAATATCTGTGTTGTAACAGCGGAATTTTCTGGAACTTGTGGTCTATGCCCTGTTGAAAAAACCAGCATGCTGGTTAGGAATGTTTTGAAGCATGACTGCTGGTTTGAGCTGGTTTAAGCTGGTCATGTGCTGGACCTAAGCTGGTACTAAGCTGGTCCTGAGCAGGAGCAGCTTAGGACCAGCACATGACCAGCTAAGGACCAGCTTAAACCAGCTCAAACTAGCAGTCATGCTTCAAAACATACCTTTTTCAACAAGGTGGACACTTGTGGTCTTTATACCCACTTGAACACTTGGGCCAAATAATAATGTAAATATATTATGTATTGTGTCAAGACCACAAATCTGATCTGTTTTTTATGTGTGCACTATAGGGTAGGCTTATATGTGCAGTGTGTGTGGCGTAAATTTCATTGTCAGTATATTTTGTGTGTATATACTGTACATGTGCAGCCAGATTTTTTTTAAAGCCCAAAGTATACTTCAGCTTTTATCAAGGTTGTGTAAGCACCTTTCTGAAACCTAAAATGACTATGGCCTCATGGACTTTATGGACATGTGCAAATCTTCTGATGGACCCCCCGATGGTTACTGTGTAATTCGCACCCTGAGAGTATCCACTGAACGTAAACAGCGTATGCTGTTCTGTGTCAGCTGTGTCACATGGATACGCTGTTTCCGTTCAGATTAAATCACAACAACGTAGGAAACAGATCTGGCGTGACGCAGCTGACACAGAACAGCATACATTGTTTACGTCCAGCGGATATTCTCCAAAATGGCACCAGGGTGATGCGGAGGAGACGAATTGTTGAATAAAGTCGTTTTTTTTTTCTTTTGCACACAAAATGTATTCTCGTAGCTTCGTATAATTGCGGATGAACCACTGATGTCACATGGATTATTTTACAGATCTTCTTGCTACGTTTCTGGACTTGGGAACATTTCAGTTGCATTGCTGTCTATGGGAGGGTCAGACGGCTCTCAGATTCCATCAAAAATATCTTAATTTGTGTTCTGAAGATGAACGAAGGTCTTGCGAGTTTGGAACGACATGAGGGTGAGCAATTTTTGGGTGAACTATCCCTTTAAGAACCTCAAGACGAATTGTTGAATAAAGTCGTTTTTTTTTTCTTTTGCACACAAAATGTATTCTCGTAGCTTCGTATAATTGCGGATGAACCACTGATGTCACATGGATTATTTTACAGATCTTCTTGCTACGTTTCTGGACTTGGGAACATTTCAGTTGCATTGCTGTCTATGGGAGGGTCAGACGGCTCTCAGATTCCATCAAAAATATCTTAATTTGTGTTCTGAAGATGAACGAAGGTCTTGCGAGTTTGGAACGACATGAGGGTGAGCAATTAATGACAGAATTTTCATTTTTGGGTGAACTATCCCTTTAAGAACCTCACTACTGAGAAATGTCATGTAGCTTTTCAGCTGTGAAACTATTTTATTGATAAATTCGTGGGACAGCACTGACAACAAGTTTCTGTCCACGTCTCTACATGTGTGCGCAAGTGTGTGGCTGTACTGTGTGTATGTGTTTGTGAGAGAATGGAAGAAGGAAAGCATGATTTCTGTACATAAAATAGGTGGAAAACATGAAAAAAGTTTGTCATTTTTATCGTTTGTTATATTTATTTGGGGTTTTGGTTCTTTTGCTGTTGTAGATAGCCCATAGTATAACAAAAAATATGACATATCTCTTCATTGTACTTGAGGCCCCCCTGGACAAGCGCGCACAGGCACATGCCTAGAATGCCTAAATCCGCCCTGAGTGAGCAAGACTGCCAAACAAACCTAGTTCTAAACAGTACTTCATGAAGCTTTGAAACATTTACGAGTCAAATTTTACCCGAGGGGGACCTCTCACAGAATGCAATTTCAACTGGGACCCAAATGCACCAGGGACCCACAAACCCTATCTATAATTTGAATGTTAAATAAATAAATAAATTAGTGCTGTCAAACGATTAATCGCATCCAAAATAAAAGTGTTTGTGTACATAATATATGAGTGTGTACTGTGTCTATTTATTATGTATATATAAATACAAGCACATGCATGTATATTCAGTATTTAAGAAAAATATGTTGTTTAAATATTAAATGTATTTATATATAAGAATATAAATGTATGTAAATATTTTCTAAATATATATTGTATGCGTGTGTATTATTTATATATACATAATAAATATACACAGTACACACTCATATATTATGTAAACAAATACTTTTATTTTGGATGCGATTAATCGCGATTAATCGTTTGACAGCACTAAAATACAAGCTAATACACAATTAAAATAATGTGAGGACATTATTAAAACTAAATAAATGTATCTAAATAATATATTGTTTATATTTTATATTTATATTAAGAAATGATATTGTTATAAGTCATTTCATTCCCAGCAGTTAACAAAATGGATGAAAACCGTGGATGTGATTTGCTGCCGTTTGTACTGAAAACGCTTGTGGTTTTTAAACCTTCTCTTAATAGATTTAATAATATGATAATTGGATTTGTTTCAGTCGACTCGATCTTAACGAATCGGTTAATGATTCAATGACTCGTCAGTCAGAAGATCCAATTGACACATTTTGATTAAAAAATAGGCTTAAATAAATATACAAATAAATCTAATGAATGCATGAATAAATCGTGATCTATAACACTTAGAGACCAGATAGGGAGCTTTCATTTAATGCCGAATGACTCGCATAAAAGACTCCACCTACTGAGGGTGAATCAAAATCCACTCCGCTGTTAGGCATCAGTGTAGGTGCAGCGAAACTTGATGATGACGTACCACCCAGCAGGTTTGACTCGTCAGTGAATAAAGTTGCGGCTGTGCGTAACGTCTCAGTTTCCTCCTCGTACCGGTGCGGCCAGTTACCTCAAGGCGCACTGCTCTTTAACCATATTATTATTCACGTTTAAATAAAATTCGTTTCTTTTTCCTCATCTTCTTTTCTTTTCTGGAAACCCAACACCATCAAAGCTGAAGTTCTTTTAGAAAAGGTGAGATTAATCTAAGCGGTAGTCACTGGGCTGCTGCTGCTGTAAAATGGCTCCGATTGCTCTCATGTTCTTGCTTTCTATATCTGCTAGACCTATAACAGCTACATTCCGTTATCCAGGAGAACCGAGCGCCGCTACAGAGTTAAACCCAGAGGTTTAGCGCTGTGTGTGAGCTGCTGTGTGTTTATATGTTGATGGTGCGGGGTGAATCAAAATCCACTCCGCTGTTAGGCATCAGTGTAGGTGCAGCGAAACTTGATGATGACGTACCACCCAGCAGGTTTGACTCGTCAGTGAATAAAGTTGCGGCTGTGCGTAACGTCTCAGTTTCCTCCTCGTACCGGTGCGGCCAGTTACCTCAAGGCGCACTGCTCTTTAACCATATTATTATTCACGTTTAAATAAAATTCGTTTTTTTTTCCTCATCTTCTTTTCTTTTCTGGAAACCCAACACCATCAAAGCTGAAGTTCTTTTAGAAAAGGTGAGATTAATCTAAGCGGTAGTCACTGGGCTGCTGCTGCTGCTGCTGTAAAATGGCTCCGATTGCTCTCATGTTCTTGCTTTCTATATCTGCTAGACCTATAACAGCTACATTCCGTTATCCAGGAGAACCGAGCGCCGCTACAGAGTTAAACCCAGAGGTTTAGCGCTGTGTGTGAGCTGCTGTGTGTTTATATGTTGATGGTGCGGCTCTGCTGACTCGCTTTATGCTCCTTTATGAGAAAATGGCGTCCGGTTATTAGATCAGCTGTTCTCTCGCACCACCCTGCCGGTAAACCGCCCGTTTGACCATAAAACAACGAATGTTATACTGCCAAGTGACCCGCTTTTAAACTTGATGCCTGGTTTTGGTTTCCACTTGTTTATTGAGTTGACTTTAAACGTTGAATGTCCAAATCGTGGCCGTTTTCTTCTGTGCGGTAATTAGCCTCAATGCTAATGCGCGAGAGGAGCTCTGACAACAAGTGAGTTATTGTCTATCATAATCATAAAATGTACGCTCATTTAAACTGTCCGTGTGTAGTCTTTATTAACTGACCGTAAACCTTTTACGAAACCCGCTGAGAATGCCGCTTGAATGTGTTGTTTGATAAATCAAGGCTCTTTTGTGAAATCAGAGCTCATGGCAGAGGCCCAGTGCTTTGTTCAGTTTTGATGGCTCTTCAGTTCTTGACATTTATCCGCATTGTCATTTTTTTCAGTGCGACTAAAGAACCATTTAATCTCTCCTGTACATTTCAGTTAAACTTAAATGCTTGTCATTTCCATTTATTTTGTAAATGTGTCTAAATGAAGTGCCTTTCTCCTCTTTTAGGCCGTGTTTCTACACCCCCACCCTTTCACTCTCATTCTTTTTGAGGATCTTTCATTGTCAAGCCGCCAAAGTGGAGAGTGTGATTGCAGAGGGGGGTGCTTCTCGTTTCAGGTAACTTTACACTTTTTATTACACACCGTTTTTATGGATCTATGCCTTTTCAGAAGATCATTAATTTACCTAGGGTTTAGTTAAAGGGGTCATACGATGCTGCAAAAAAGTACATTATTTGGTGTAATGAAATGCGTATATACGGTTTAAGGTTAAAAAAACACATTATTTTCCACATGCTGTACATTATTGTTTCTCCTCTATGCCCCGCCTTTCTGAAATGTTGATTTTTACAAAGCTCATCGGTCTGAAACGCGAGGTGTGCTGTGATTGGCCAGCTATCCAGTGTGTTATGATTGGCCGAACACCTCAAGCGTGTGACGGAAATGTTGCGGCCCTTACCATACTGTGATGCCCTGTCCGGCCGGAGCGACGAGACAAAAACATGAAAAACCCATTATAAACGAGGCATTTGTTGCGTCCAGTGGGGACATAATTATGGATTATAATGATTTATACTGTATTTTTACGCTTTGAGTTGCATCGCGCCATGTAAACGTACAACCATGTCTGCATTCGTGATCTGAGAAATGACAAACAACAAGCCCTACTCTACACTGCCCAAAAAACTCGCTTTAAATATATAAAAACTCTTTAAATATATAAAAAAACTTACTTGCAGTCTGAGAGTCAGAACAGCCGGCATTGTAGTCTACTCTACCAGGATCAGGAAACAGTCCTCCATAAAATGCGCTGCACACATCTGAATATTTGGGTTGAAGTGTTCTGGAACAGTGTTGTAAATACAACTTAACCACTGATTTCTAGTCGTGTCCATTTTTGGAAGGCCAAACAAAGTAGTTTTGCTTCCACAACGAAGCACACAGCATCTTCACCACATGGCAGCGGCAACAATACTACAGCGAGAATAAAAAGTTACGCCTTCTTTCTTTGCGTGAACATTTGGGCTGTGTTATGTAAATCTTCCCACATAGTGATGTAGATATGTGGGGGCGTGTTAGAACGAGCCGTTTTAGGTCGGCGTGGCTGACTCTTCACTTTTATAAAGAATATCTCTTTGGATTTGAGACTTTAGTCTTTGCAACTTTACAGATCTTCTTTATGCACCAAGAGCTTGTAACACTCCAAGAGAGAGGAAAAATTTAAATCGCCTCATATGACCCCTTTAATAAGATGCATATTGGTAGCTTATGGTCAGAAAGAGCTCAGTATTTCATATATAAATTCCTGGGATGTGGGGAAAATAGATTGGAAAATGAGTTCCAGTGATTTAAATAAAATCTCACAATATGAATTTTCACTTTTATAGTGCTTCTTCGGGCGGAGGAGGAGGTAGGGGTGCATCTCAGCACTATCCCAAGTCTGTCGGCAACGGGTACGTTTGGAGAATTGAATAATGGACCTTTTTTCTTGTTAAAAATTGGCAAGTAACAAATTGGTTTGGATATCTCTTTTGGTCGTGTCTGAATCAAAATGAACTTCAAGTTTTGATCTATGAATGCGCTTGTTTATTGACCGCTCGGCTCATTTAAATGTATTGCTGTCCTCTACATCAGTGACCTTCATTACATCAACGACATCGTTGCATTATTTTCTGAGGACTTGTTGATTGTGTAAGTGGGGGGGTGGGGGGATTTGTTGACTGAATAGCAACCAGCAAAAAATTTGTTGACCTGGGTGAAGTCACTCACCATGAAATCAAAACTAACTGTTCTTTTTATGTAATGTTTGTTATAAATGTAATCATGCATTTATTTTTATTTAATTCATATCCCCTCATAATGTTTAATCGCAATATCATCTGTTCTCTGAATTGTGCATCATTGCGTAACCTTTCCCTACCAGCAACCTGTCACTCAAGAGATCGCAGTAATGGCAAACAACAACTAGCCAATCAATTCTTGAAAATGCAAAATCAAGTCCAGCCCGCCTCTTTTGGTTTGAGCCTTTTCACATGGATATAGTTCAATTGGAAAGAAAAGATTACTTATTAAAGGGGTCATATGACATTGCTAAAAAAGAACATTATTTTGTGTAGGCCTATTTGGTCTAATGAAATGTTTATGCGGTTTAAGGTTCAAAAAACATTATTTTCCACATACTGTACATTATTGTTTCTCCTCTATGCCCCGCCTTTCTGAAACGCGTCGATTTTTACAAAGCTCATCGGTCTGCAAAAGTGAGGTGTGCTCTGATTGGCCAGCTATCCAGTGCGTTGTGATTGGCCGAATTCCTCAAGCGTGTGATGGAAATGTTACGCCCCTTACCATACTGTGATGCCCTGTCCGGCTGGAGCGACGAGACAAAAACATTAAAACCCATTATTAACTAGGCATTTGTTGCACCCAGTGGGGACATGATTATGGATTATAATGACTTGTACTGTCTTTTTACACGTTGTGTTGCATGGTGCTGCATTGTAGGCTACTCTCCCAGGAAACAGTCCTCGTCCTCCGTAAAATGCGTTGCACACATCTGAATATTTGGTTTGAACTCTTCAGGAACAGTGTTGTAAATACAACTTAACCACTGATTTCTAGTTGTGTCCTCTTTTGGAAGACCAAACAAAGTTTTGTTCTTACAACGAAACGCACAGTGTCTCCATGACATGGCGGCAACAACAATACTACAGCGCGAATAAAAGTTACGCCTTTGTGTGAACATTTGGACGGTGTTATGCAAATCTTCCCACGTCGTGATGTAGACATGTGGGGGCGTGTTTAAATTAGGCGTTTTATGAGGGCGTGGATGAGTCTTAACTTTTATAAAAAGTATCTCTTTGGGTTTGAGACTTTTGTCTTTGCAACTTTAGGGATCTTAACTATTCACAAACCGCTTGTAACACTCCAAAGAGAAATAAACTTGAAATCGCATCATTTGACCCCTTTAACTAATTAATATTGTCACTTTTTAGTTTTAAATGTAAACATTATTAGTAGCTTGTCCTGAATCTGAGGTTTTGACCTCATGTGAGGAAATACCATTTAAAGTGTTTTAATCATGTACGGGTGGTGGCAGAATCCTTTCTGATTGGCACAAAAAGATATTTCAATGCCGATGTTTTAAGACATTAGTAAGTCACTAAAGCCTTGACAAAACCAATGACTCTGCACTGTTGTTTTATAGCGAGTTCCTGGGGAAAACCCCAGGACCTAACGTTCAGAGATGGGTTCCTTCACGAAGCACTAGACGAGATGTCAACTCCTCCAACGAAAAAGAACGACACGATGCAATCTTCAGGAAAGTGAGGGGGTAAGAGCCTGAAATGAATCCATTCATTCACCACCGCAGAGACCGTAGAGTTTGTCCTGATTTACCTTACGAGAGTAATATAATACACGGCGGAAAGCAGAACACACTCCCTTGTCCTGCTGTGAGAAGTGTGTAAAGACAAGTGTCTTGTTTTTTAAAACTTTTCTTCCTTGATTTGAATATTCTTGGTTGCAAATTTACTTTAATTAGCTTTTTAAAAACCAATGGAAATAGATGTCACTGAAGAACTAACCATTTTGCTTGTGTTTTTTGTAGCATACTTAATAAACTGACCCCTGAAAAGTTTGACAAGCTATGCCTTGAGCTCCTGAATGTGGGCGTAGATTCAAAGCTCATCCTCAAAGGAATCATCTTGCTGGTGAGGGGTTTGTTCATTATGTGTAGGCTAGAGTCACAATACCAATACTGCTTAAATTTTATACTCTGTACCAAAGCAGATGGCTTTTCTTACACACAAAATTAGCACATGTCAACGTGTATATGTATGTATAAGGGCTGCACGATGTATCGTTTCAGCATTCAAATTGCGATGTGCGCATCTGCGATAGTCACATCGCAGGATGTGTGATGTTTGGTATACTGAACGTTATTCCGTATGGACCAGGTACAGGGTTCGAAGCGCAGGTGATTGTTGGATTAATTGCAAAGTTTAGCCATCATACAATGAAGGTTCATCATTTGCATGTGTTTTAGGTCCTGTCGGTTTAAACGTTCAAGCAATTTGAAACCATTCGAGCGCGAAATAGAGCTCAATTATGAACATGCGTGCGCTATTTTCTTTGCTCACACACCGACACCGTATCTACACCGGGTGCGACAGCTCGAGTCTGTCTACACTGGATGCGACAAAGCGACCTTTGCAAATAATTTGTGACCCTGGACCACAAAACCAGTCTTAAAGGTTTAGTTCACCCAAAAATGAAAATTCTGTCATTAATTACTCGCCCTCATGTTGTTCGAAACCGTAAGACCTTCGTTCATTTTCGATTAAATTTGAGGGCTCTCTGACCCTCCCATAGACCGCAAGGTAACTACCACATTCAAGGTCAACAAGCGCGTGGCGGTGCTGACCCAGATCCGGCGTAAGGATGTCATCACGCCGGATCTGGGTCAGCGCCGGCTCCGCCACATGCTCGCATCATGATACTATCATGAACGCTTATCCAAAGTGATGCAGTAGAGATGAAAATGTGGAATAAAGTCGTTCATTTTGTTTTCTTTGCGAAGGTCTTGTTTCGAACAACACGAGGGTGAGTAATTAATGACAGAATTTTTGGGTGAACTATCCCTTTAAGTCGCTTGGGTATATTTTTAGCAATAGCCAAAAAAACATTGTAAGGGTCAAAATGATCGATTTTTCATTTATGCCAAAAATCATTAGAATATTAAGTAAAGATCATGTTCCATGAAGATATTTTGTAAATTTCCTACTGTAAATATCAACTTAATTTGATTAGTAATATGCATTGCTAAGGACTTCATTTGCACAAATTTAAAGGCGATTTTTCTCAGTATTTAGATTTTTTTTTTTTTTTTTTTCACCCTCAGATTCCAGATTTTCTAATAGTTGTATCTCGGCCAAATATTGTCCTATCCTAACAATATTATAATCCTTATGTGTTCAGCTTTCAGATGATGTATAAATCACAATTTCAAAAAATTGAAGTTATGACTGGTTTTGTGGTCAAGGGTCACATTTGAACTTTGTGTCAGTACTTCATAAATAGAACGCGGCATCAGTTTACTGTTGGGGATTTGTCGTATCGCGCTGCATCCAGTGTAGACAGCATCACTGATTATAATGTGTTCTAGCCTATAGTATTTTATCGCACCGCGCCACGCCACTCGCGTCTGGTGTAGACACGGTGAGAGCCACACAGATGCATGTGAACACCGAATTCCATTCACTTCCGCGTCCGTTTGTGCCTGAAATGACATGCGCGCAAAATTGTCAAAATGCGTGTCTCTGCAAGTATCCTTGTAAACACAGTTGCTTAGGTGAAGGTAAACAATTGAGAAAGAAAATAGATGTGTAACAGTATATTGGTTCACAGCAGTTTAATGTTCCTCTTGCTTTCTGTGTCATGTTAATAAAACAATAAAACCCAGAGAAAAGTCTACTTTTGTAGCTTTAACACAGATTTATTAGATTTAATTTATACAGTGAAGACTACGCAGTGTTATTTTACATTTGATTATTCCATTTCTATACCTGTATACTGTTAGACTTGCCTTTTATTTTATTTGTATCTTTGTTCTATTATATTTATCTATACTTGTAACTTGTTTATTTTCTATGCTGATTTACTTGTCTACAAAATCACCCAATCATTGATTTATTTTTCAAATAGAGCTAATCAAGTCATCTGGTGATTTTATTATTTGTTTTTATTAAATTTTTTTTTTCTCATATCGCAATGTTTTTTTTTTTTTTTTCCCCAATATTGTGTTTAATTACTTAACTGTAGCTATGTTTTCATCCACCTATTTTTATGCGCATTTTTGAATATCGCAGGAAAAAACCGCTGGATGGAAACGCCAAGATGCGCATAAACTTATGCACACATTTGAGTAGGAAACTTTTTATCCAATACGAAAACATGCGCATAAACTACGATGGAAACGCATTTACAAAATATATTCCTCCATGCGCATCAAAAGTCATGTGACTTTTCGCTATGACATGATAACTTGACTAGCAGCGGACCGATCTCGTTCACAGCATCTATTTATGGTCATTCTGAAATGCCTGAGCAAAGCCAGTCGTCAAACTATTTCTGTATTCTGTAATTGTCTTGCACGACTGCGTTCCCAAACAGCTGGCATCCACCGCCGAAAGCAATGACTGCATTGTTTCATCTGCTCGCTCTGTGGCGCAAGTAATTTATCATATAGGAAAATTATTACGTTCAGTGGCTTCTCCTAGTTTTCTTAGTGATATTTAGAGCAAGTTTATCAGGAAGTGACGGTTTTGTACTCTTTAATTCGTTGGATGGAAACGGTGCTTTATTCACAAATATTTTATGATATTCCAGTTTTGCGCACAAGTTAAATTCACATCTTTGTATGGAAACACAGCTATTGACACTTGGGGACAGAGCTGAATGCTGATGAGGTATGAATGATTAATTTCCGATGATGAACATTTATTGTTATTGTCATTGTCATAACTGGTGTCAACATTTCAGCAGTTTAGACCAGTATCGGTACTGAAAAAATTGAAAATACTGTTGAAGACTTAAAACAGTTAAATTACTACAATAAAAATCCAATTTTAAGCCAACAAGTGTCATGGTTGTCCCTAGTGATTATCCATATTAGGGATGTCAATGATTAATCGATGATCAATTAATTGTCGATAAGAGATGCAATCGATTAAATCTATCGATGGTCGATTGAGCTATTTAATTTTGTGCTGCGTGTGGCTCATGTGCAAAACACGTGCGAGCGGCTGTGAGTGACGGTGACTGTTTAAATGCATCATCTTTCCTTCATAATGTACAAATTAAGCTTTTAATGTGATTTAAAGTCAGGTTTAAAGGTTTGAGTGGCTTTTGCATGTCATGTCGTGCTGCTGCAATAGACGCATTTTGCAGCATTAAGGTTAAAATCGAAAATTGACATCCCTGATCCATATAAATTAATAATTATTATGCATCCATTTGTTTTTTTTATTCTTTTTATTTAATTTTTTCATTGTGTATGTTATGTTATCTGGGCTTAAAGAAAAAAAAAATGGGGGGCGTATTTTTGGACCAGGGATGACAAATGTTTTTTTTTTCATATTTCAGGTTATCCAAGTAAAAATAAAGAAAATAATTTATTTAAAAATGTATTTTTTGCCTTAAGTGTTCACACAGTGTGCATTCTTCATAGTCTGGTTTTAATTTGAAGAGTTAATTGTTCTTGAAGTTGTTTGCACACTGATAAGGGTTTTGTTAACATTCTGATGACCAGGTATGATGATGGACCTGATGGCTGAAACGTTTCTTGTAAATGGATTGAAAGTTTGTTATATGGACACTTGGTTAACCCTCCCAAAATTTGTCTAGCTTTTTGCAGTTCATTTTCCACGAGATGTTCTTCACTGAACCAGATGACCAATTATCTGCACCTACGAAAGAGCAGCTCGACCAGGAAAAGCAGCTGCTACTTGCTTTCAAACCGGTGATGCAAAAATTCCTGCATGATCACGTGGACCTGCAAGTCAGTGCACTCTATGCGCTACAAATCCACTGCAACGCCCATGCTTTTCCCAAAGGTACGGCTAAAAATCTTCTGACTGTAAATTATGATAATTCCCCCAGACTTGAAGGAAGGTTTGTTTGGTTGTTTCACTTTTATTTATTTATTTTTATTAAATAATTACCCCCCCCCCGCCCCTTTATTTAAAGGTGGGGTAAGCGATTTCTGGTAGCCAATGTTGACATTTGAAATCACCAAAACAAACACGCCCCTACCCCAAAAGGGTCTCGCCCCCATTTTGATAGCTCCGCACATACGTACGCAACCCAGACAACGATTAGTTCTGTGAAACAAAGCAAAACCAATGCTACACCGTGTCTACACTGGACGCGAGTGGCACGGCGCAACAAAATACTATAGAACTCATTATAATCAGTTATGCGGTCTACACCATATATATATGATCTACACTGGAAGCGACGCGGTACGACAAATCCCTGACAGAAAACTGCTGTTGCATTCTATTTGACGTATTGAGACCAATTTCAAATGATTTTAAACGGTCGCTTTGTCGCGTCCAGTGTACTAGACAGACTTTAGCTGTTGCGGCGCAGACACTGTGTTGCTCACCTATCGAGAAGAAACAAAGCAACCTCGGTGTCCGATCGCAGGCCTTCCGCTCCTTGAGTTCTCTCCAGCGCTGGAAAGCTGATCCGATATTTACACGGGTCTTACTTCTTGCCTTAAGCCTTCTTTTGTTCCGCAGATGTTTTCCTCTTGCATCTCTATCTTTCTGTCGCTCGGCTCGCTAATGTGAGCACTGAACGCTCTCTCCGCCACATCATGAGTAGACACGCCCCTTACTGCTGATTGGCTACAAGTTTTGAATCAAGAAATTCATTGACCTAAGATGTGGGAACCTTGGAGATTGTTTACCAAGACTTGGAATTGAAGTAGTCAGAGGAAATGCTTGTTTTCTCGTTTTTTTAACGGTCTCTTATCTCCTTAGGAATGTTACTGCGCTACTTTGTCTACTTCTATGATATGGAGATAATAGAAGAAGAGGCCTTCCTAGCGTGGAAAGAAGATATTACACAGGAGTTTCCAGGGAAAGGAAAAGCATTGTTCCAGGTAATTATCCTATTGCATTAAACCGTTTCACACCATTTCTATGAAAGACACATTTACTTTTTTTTTTTTTTTTTTTTTCCCTTCCCTCTTTCTCCCTTTTCCCTGTTTAGGTGAACCAGTGGCTCACCTGGCTGGAGACGGCAGAAGAGGAAGAGTCTGAGGAGGAACCTGACTAAAGAACCAGCCAAAGCCTTGACGTACTCACCTCTCCCGTTTCCTTTCACCATCTCTCCTTTCACCTGTGTTAACATCCGCACTCCACTCCGTGCTGCTGTTTTTTGCAGTGTCAAGCCAACGTATTATTCACGCTTCTCTTTGGCCTCATTGTTTAAAGCATGCAATGACTAGCATCTGTTCAGAACCACCACAGATAAATAGTATTAGCAGCTTGAAACTGCATCTTTTTTATATATGTATTTTTGCTTTTAAGAACTTGTATTTGCAAAAGCCTTTTGTGCTGCTGTTAATTTCAGCACAAAACTATTGAAATGCACTTTTGCTCCGTGTCATATTGAGTTGCTGCAATTTTCACTTTTGTTTGTTACAAAGAATCCTCCGTAATCATTGGTTACCATAACGTTTAGCGGATGCGTTGTTCATACCTCACAGTAGTGGCTTTAGTGTGTGTGTGATGGAGTCTAATGGAAAAACTCTCCAGGTCTGTGAAACAGGAAAAATTGTTTACTTTTTTCAGTTATGATTGTAAAATTATTATTATTATTTTTTTTTCCTTCCCCGTTTTTTTTTTTTTTTTTTATA